AGGAGGAGGAGGAGGAGGAGGAGGTGGTGGTTAAGTGGTGCCTTGCCCTGAGGGGGCTGGGACAGAGGGGCGTGATGGTTCCCAGGACACTGTGGCTTTGGGTGCCTGGATCTTTATTTGAGTTGTCCTGTGTGTTCGGGGAGTTGGGCCCGATGATAGCTCCAACGGCGGAACCCGTGTTTGTTCTTCCTGTAAGAGACCTGAAGCATTTGGTTAACTGGAGAGCAAAGAACGGGGGTAACGTCTCCCCAGCGCCCAGCCTGAGAGGTGGAGTTTGGGCTAAGACGGCCCAAAGGGCCGGGGCAGGAGCCGGGTACGATCACCCGCTTTCGTTGCTGTCCTGAGTTGTATTGCACAACCACGAGCAAACCGAGCGGGAAGCCCCGTAAGGAGGGGTGGCAGGGAGTCCTGGGGGCTGCCTCTGCCAGAAGCTGCGGCGCGGTGCGGAAGCGCCGCTCTGGGGGGCGCTTGGCTCCGTTGTTCTGTCCAAAAGCTTCACCTTCCGCTCCGACGCAGCGCGGCGGCGCTCTCAACCCCGCCGCGCTGCCCTGCTGCCTTCCCTTGCAGACTGGAGCGAGCCAGCCGTCCCGAAGGCCGGCGGCCAGCCCGCAGCCGACCTCCCGAGCCAGATCGATGCCCTTGCTGCCCAGCTGACTGCCGACGAGCTCCTCGCCTATTCGGGAAGCCAACTTTTTGAGATGCAAGAAAAACTCGTTGGCATGACAAACTGTATCATGAAAACCCTGCAGTCCCGCTGGAAATCGCCGCCCCATGACAGTTCTGATTAGGTGCTCGGCCTTTCTGACTAAGGAGGAGGTTGTTGCGATGACGTTCCCAAAAACCTGCCTTTCTTACCGGTGAATTATCCCTTAAACTTTGCATTTTGTACCATAACAAGGTTGGTTTTTTGTTTTTGTTTTTTTTTTTTAACAACTATATGAGCAAAATGTATTGGTGTTTGGGTGGTTTTTGTTGTTTTAAGTGGCGGGATTGCTCATGCCCTGTCAGAGGTGTCTGTTGCTATGCATATTCCTTTTAGGTAGCGAAAAGAAAAATTGATAAAAAGTCGTGCAATAGCAAAGACTGTGAAACCAAACCGACAGAGTAGTTTTAAATTATTTTTTTCAAACCCGAAGTGTTCTTAACTGCTGCAAACGCTCGTGATTCGGTCAGAGCTCAGTCTCACAGCCCGGCTCACCTGCTGCCCCCGCGTGTCCCCTCGAAGCCGCCGACGCTGGCAGACGGGGACCCTTCGGCGCTGTTCGACGCAGAGATGAGCGGTGCTTCATCCCCTGCAGTCCAGGACCCTGGTGCTCGCCAAGGATGACACCCGGTTTTGCAAGAATCGCACTAAGCAGCTGACAACGAAACGTACCCTCACGGGCAAAAGACTTTGTGAAACTTCTCAGGCTTTTCCCCCTGTTCCTTGGTGGCAGCAGTTCTGCGGAGAAGACTTTTTTCCTTGGGGGCTCGAATGGATGTGACGGGAGCGCTTTGTAAATTATGTACAGACTTATCCTGGCGGATGTTGGGAAATAATTTATGGAGTTCCGATTGCATGGAATGCATCGCTGCTGCTCGGAGACCTTCGGTGGGAGTTCTCGGGTCTTTCTCTGGAAATCTGATGTGTATATATTGTCCTGTACCTGTCAACGTGGATGTTGATGGAAAGGAATTGCTGCAGGTGGTTTTAGAACTTACACGTGGGCAAATAAAACAGCACATAGTTCCCAAACTTGTTAATAACAAAGTTTGGGGTGGTTTTGTTGTGGGTTTTTGTTGGGGTTTTTTGGGGTTTTTTTGGGTTTTTCCCCTTTCAGACCTGTTCAGCCCTCCCTCAGCGTCACTTTGGATTCACACGGTGAGGAGAGACCCTGGAAGGGCAACGCTGCTGCCTTAAGGTAGGAGCAGGCCCTCAGGGCCATGGTAGGGTCACGGCAGCAGGACTCTTATTCTTTGCCCCGTTCACACATCGCCTAAAGGAAAGGAAGGGGCCAAAGCAGAGCCTTGGAGCTATAACCTGAACAGCACCCGTAGGGGTTTTTTGGTGATTTCTTCAAAATGTTACTTTGGTTCCAGCCCTGCCTCCTTGGGCTTGTTCAGCTCCTGGATGCAGTGACCTGTGCAGCTCTGGGTGTTCCCAGCACACCTGGAAAGGGCGGTAACATCTGTCTGACTGACACCCTCCAGCGCCGCACTCCCAAAGCCTGCTTTGAGGAAGGACGGGTCCCTTTCAGGCTGGTTGTGTGCACCATGACAGGCCACGAACCCTAAGTTATTGGTGCAGCTCCTACTCTTAACTTGTTTTTAATCATCTTGGACGTAGTAGAGGGTGAGTTCTTCCTTCTTGGAGCCTGCCTGGGACCAGATGCTGCAGGAGGGGGAGCAGATCAGGAGGGTTCAGGTACGAAACAGCTTGTCGGGTTCACTCACAGCCCCTCAGTGCGGCTGAGGCCGAGGGAACATCCCTGTCTCAGTACGTGCTCGGACCAAAGCCCCGGTGGCGTGAGGTTGATTCCTGCCCTTCGGCACGAGTGAGCACAGCGACCGCACTGCAGAACCATCAGCTTTATTGCGTCACTAATGTACAGGTAACAACAGCTTTTGACCCCAGAACAGCCGCATGAAAAACGCGTGCGCAAGAGCTCAGCAAGCACAAGGAGAGCCCGGGGGGTTTGTCCCTCCCCCACCCCCCTGCCCCCCCAGCTCCGTGGGGGTTGGAGACACTAACCTTTAGTTGCTTATCTGGGAAAGAATGAGTATGTTCACACACTTCAGAGGAGCTCAGAAAAATGCTCTTTTTTTTGCAGGAGAATGAGCAAAAAGTCCTACGGGGCAGCCTTGGCCCTCAGTGTTCAACTGCGGTGACCTGAGCTGGGACAGCGGGGGGGAAGGGCCAGGCAGCCCTGGAAAAAAGTATTTGTTTTGTGACAGTGGAAGAAACAAACAGTTCTGAGCAACGCCTAGAGCTGGGGTTTACAGGTAGTTCTCAAAAATGGTTGGAAAGGGTGTTTCAAGGGTATATCTGCAGTTACTTGGGTTTTTTTTTTTTACTTTTTTTCACATCAGGGTTCCAAAGGCCCCGACACCACGGAGGCCCCTAAGGCACTTAATGTTGTTAACCCTTCCCGTATTTTGAGCAGTGCCTGTGCCTGCAGGTACCCTCTCTGGAAGGCCCTGCGGGGGGTCAGACGGCTTCCACGTAGTTGGCCGGCAGCATGCCGGTCTTGCCGGTTCTCTGGACGGTCCCGTACATCCAACCTTCGTCAATGGCTTGTACGTTTACGATGGTGTCGCCGTCCTTGAAGGACACCTCATCAGCGTCAGCTGCCATGTAGTCGTACATGGCCCGGTAGGTCTTCTGTTAGGTTTAAGAAACAAGAGAGACATTTAGAGCCCTGAAAAGCAAAATGTGAGAGCAGGCCCAGGGCAAGGTGGGCTTTGACTCAGTTCAGTACTATGAAGTAGTGGTGGCCGTGTCGGGCTGGTCTTTTAAATCTCTGGTTTCAGCTCACAACATGTTTCTTCTCGATAACTGGGCACCTCGGTCGCGCAAGGACCACCTTGGGCTGGAGCCGGGGGGCGTTGGTGACACTGGAGCTGATCAGAGCAGTATTGGCACAGCCACAGCTGTAAGGTGTTGCCCCCAGCAGAGCCTGGGGGGGAGGTGACGCCATACCCATTGTCCTACATCTACTTTTAAGTGCAGGAGTAGGGACAAGCGTTAATTCAATGTTTTGAAGTGCCCTCCCTCAGCGAAGGGGGACAGCGTGTCAGTACAACCGCTCCCCGTTACTTACGCCAGCCGTCGAGGGCTGCGAAGGAACGGACGAGACGGTGGTTTGCTGGGTGGCGACCGACGATGATCGCTGCTGGGGTAACTCCACGGTTTTAGCGTGTTTGTAGCCCACTACAAGAGGAAAATACATTTTCTGCTGTTCATGACAGAGCTTGGCAGTGGGGTTAGAGCTGCTCTGAATAAAGGTCTTTAGGGGGGGTCAAATCTGCCTTTTACCCACTGAAACAGGTAAGAGATGGGGCTGGACCCTTGGCGGTGCTGGGTTAATGGTTTGACTCAATCCTAAGGGTCCTTTCCCACCTAAGTGATTCCAGAAAATACACCTCCATGCCTGTCTATTCTGTCCACAGCATTTTGCAGGTGGACTTTGGGCTTTTTCTTGGTGAAAGGAATTCCTGACCACGAGCCCATGACCCGTGCTGCCCCACTGGGTGCTCTGGCTGCCCTTTCTCCTCACCCGTGAACAAAGAGCACGTCCGTTCTCCTCGTACCTGTGGCGGTCGTGGTGAAGAAGCCCCCGCTGCTGTAGTAGGACAGATGTTGATCCACGCCGTCCGAGGGCTCGGACTTCTCCTCTCCCCCGCTGAGGCTCAAGGCACTGGCAGAGCGGGAGTGCTCCCGGCTGCGGCGCTGCGCCTGGACTGCGAGGAGAAAGGGGGAACCAGTTCATGGCCCTTGTGTAAGGAGACGCACACGTGACCACACACGTGTACGTGTAACACCCAGGGGATGTGCACATAAACACCTCCATCGATCTGTGTGCGTACGTACTCGGTTAAAACACCCAAAGTGCCATTGTCACCCAGCCCACTGAAGTTGGGCTTATAGCGAGCACAACGCTACGCCAGGCAGAAGGGCTCACCGTAGTTTATAAAGTTTATGGAAAAAAGCGTGTGGATAAATCACTGTCTATTTTTGTGGTTACTCCATGATATTTGTCAATGCTTTTTAACCACTCTATGGACACCGTGCTCAAGTCCTCCTCAAAAAAGGTGCAGTTACTACGTCCCTGTTATCTTTAATATTCAGAATATATTTTTCCTTTTTTTAATAACAACTGAGGAACAGTATTTTTAGCATTATTTAAAAAGGAAATGTGTTAGATGTAGGCAACATGTCATGCTACCTGGGGATCACATAAACAATCCTAGCTGTGCCCATGTTAGATCACTTTTATATAACAGTAAGTTTAACCTATTTTTTGAGAAATAGCGGTATTAAACATGGGGAACACTTACGTAGCTACCCTAAACACAGTCATGCTGGTGAGGAGGAGCTACAGCCAGTTTCTGCTCCAGTTACCATTAATTCTCACCCGCCCTCTGTCCCTCTGCTCTCGGCTGTGTAACACAGGAGCAGGGCCAGCAGGCAGGACGAGACCCGCGTTCCCGCACGGGCCGAGCACTAAGCCGAGCTTTAGTACCCCCAGGCTGACATTTTGCCGACAGGGTTTGCCCAAGTATCAACCGGGTGCAGCCCGTGGAACAAACCAGAGATCATGTGTAGGCTTCTGGACTGGATGTTGTCTTCTGCTGGGTCGTAGTCAAAGACTGACCCGGGATTGGTGCGCCACACACGGAGACCTGGAAGAGAAACAGATCTTCTGAGGAGAAGCTGGAGCTCAAGCAGCTTTTTGAGAGCTTGAGCAGCACGTGGCGGTCCTGAACAGGAGTAAAAGTGTATCAGAAAAGGGCCAGCAGTACGTCATTAACCCGTGTTTCTCAAATCTATAGCACAGATCAGGCTGCTTTGTTGTTGTTCTAAATCTAATCCCCATCAAGGGAGCTAAGGTGTTTCCCTAGTAGGCACAGAGATGAAGACACCAATTAGCATGACATTATAAAATTGGGCAGAAGGGGACAGGCAGGTCACAAGTGGTTTGCAGCTGCTGCAAGAGAATATTTCCAAAACAGACTTGGATAAAATCATCACCCCCGAGCGATGGTAAGGCTGGACCGATACGGCTGAGCCGAAACCAAACACCTCGTCCAGGTCGGCGCGTGTAAACGCGGTACCCGAGTCGTTCCAAGCCCCGGTGCCGCTCACCTGTGAGATTCTCCTGATCCTGGTCCACCCGCTTTCGCTCCATTTCTACCACTCGCCTCTGAATGCCCCTGTAGCTGATGTCGCTGAAGTCCTGCATGTTCTTCTTCACCCGCTCTGTAATGGGGTCGGTAACCACGGGGGTGAAACTGCCTTTGTTTTTCTCAAAGTCTTCATGGTATTTCACCTGCAATTTAAAGTGAAACGTCTGGTCTCTGGCTTAGGTGGATGGTTTCATTC